CGTCGCACTGAGCTGAGGTAGCTAATAAGCTTGGGGGGCGTACAAGCGTAACTTCTGTATGCATATTGGTTTTTCATCTTGTCGTAGTTCACGGCCATCGCTTCATAGCATGGGATGGAGAGAAGATGCTCTGAATAACCTTACCGATGGTTGAGCCTTCCGTCCTTTGTATAGCGTTCATACTGTATGGTGAATCAGTTTGACGACTTTCCACAGTAAACATTCACAGTCTCTAGTCGGGTGGATTACTTACATCTGATTACTCAACAATGTGGGGAAATTTTTGGTGATAAAATCCACGTCGACTCCTGATGGGAGTTGTTCGCTATTGTCTGAGGGAATACTTCGTCGTAATGAGTTTTTCATTGTAATGGAAGCAATACCACCAGTTGAGAGGATAGTATCACCACAGACGGCGGAGGTCTCCAGAAGGTTCAATGCAGCTACTGAGGCTCTAGCAGGAGCAGCTTCGAAAGGAAAAAACCACATACTCGCAGCTTGTCAACAGAGTAAGTCTCGACATGGTGATTCGTTTCACGGGGGCTCGGATGAATTCGAGAGTTTACTTTTCAACTTGAAAATTGATGAGGATTACTCTGTAACTGTTCTATTGATGTGTATTCTACCCGGCGTTGTACTGTACACCAGTAGTATTCGTTGATACTGGTGTGAAGGTTTACGATTGTTGTCAGCTCGCGATAAGCTGGGACCAGCGGCTCTACCAGTAGCCCTTACTACAGCTGCGGTCGCTGCACTGGTTCTGGCTGATCGTCGACGGAGAAGTCAGAGAAGCAGTCTAGACTGGTAGCCGGTGGGATGTTCATACCACTCCAATGATATATCGTGGATCAGGCGGTCACTATGTAGTGCTTCTATGTTCATTCCTATACCAACACTGAGGGAGCTGTGCAGCGACGGGGCGCCCATTGAGATCACTGACGATATCAACGAGGGGTGGAAGACAGCCCATATAGGATCAGTCGTGGGCATCATCGGCGAAGACCCCCTCGTGGTAGGACGTGACCTCGTTAATCAATGGACTTTTAGTTTGTTTGTTATTCGAGGGAGATTGCTCAAGCTCAGTAGGATGTGGTCATAGTATAGATATGTCATTGAGATTACCAAGAACTATAAATGATGTCGGGAATCATAATAATCATGAGTTCCCGTACAGATCGCCTGTGAAAGGCCTTGGTAGAATCTATAGTCGGCGGACACAAGTTTGACGGAGCTTTTCTCACCCCTTCAGCTGCTGAGTCGTGATGGAGATGGAAGTTACACTCGCGTATTACATTGGCGTTCTGATGGTAGATTAGTACCTCAGAAATCCTTACGTGTTATCCTACAAAATGGTTGCTATTCGACCCATACCAAACTCGACTTACGCCTTCCCCGATGTACACTCGCGTGTCATGCTCAGGACGAAGTTTTTGACCTCCTGTTCGGAAGCGGAGCTTCATCTCGTCGTGGTGAAACCAGTAGTGGACTTGAAGCCAGTATCTGCGGCGGTCCAGTGAGTCTTGGCCTTGGAGGAAACTATTTTATCGTCTTTAATGAATGTCAGCTCACTACTGGTATTGAATCGTCGGGGCAAGGACAGTGTAAGGGGTTTGAAAGCGCTGCAACTTACAGTCAGTACAACGCCATGATGATGCTCAGGGCTAGAGGCACTATAAACAGTCCGACAAGGTGGCCTCGACTGGGGGGTACTGTCGTTGGCAATCTCCTGTTGTTATCAGCGTGGACTCGGTTTCCCCAGCCTCAGCGACAGAGAGAGCTGAGACATACGACTGTGTTCGCGAGATAGTGTCAAGCCTGGCTGACCACGTATGTACAGTCCTGAGGTGAAGGGTCGAAAAGTTTCTCTTAGATATTCTTCATAGTGCGGTCGCTAACTGTCGACGAACAGTGTGCTTTGGAGAAGGTCCTCACTCAAGCTTCACGAAGCAACACACAGGTGACGGTGCTCCATCTCATACCAGGTGAAGACAACTCCTAGAAAGAAAGCGTCTTATTCACCGTGTTATCATTCAGGATGCAATAATATGGATCAGCTGATGTCGGCTTTTCACGGTCAGCTCAGTTCACTTTACCGCAACTCTGTTCGGGACTCGAGCTCTGGAGTAATTTCTCTGGCTGCTACCAGAGTCTCAGCTCCACCGCATTCAGGTGTGCGTCCGCGCCACGCCGTATAAAGACTACGCCTTCTGCGCTTGCCCACTGAGAGGCACAATGGCAACCTCTAGCCCGCTGGTGGGTTCAGACTCTAGTGGTAAACAACACCAGTCAGTGTTGACCAAGCATTATGCCTTGGCTTCCAAATTGGAGAGCCCTGAGGTTGGTGTGAGGTTCGTTGTGCGAGGAGAGATGAAGTCTTCAAGGCACTTCGTCAAATCCGAAACGAACTGTTACTTCTACTGCGTGGTGCGACAGCTTTCGAGTCGTCCAAGTGTGATGCGGACACTGAAGTGGTGGCCAGTTCACCCATTGATGTTATCAAAGAGGGCATGCAGAGGACCCTCGTCAGGTAAAGGGTTAATTCGGGTTAACACGGAGGAACTCGCTTGAAGGTACTGTGCTGTTGTGAACCCTGCTGAGGAGGATAATGCTGACAAGGTGAGGAATGTATGGCGTAGGAATAATAATGGGATGCCATACCACTCTCAGGCCACATCTCCCTTGAATGAGGCAGCTGAGGACACTGGTGAAGATGGTGATGTGCTGACGGTCGATGTTGTCGAAGTGCCGGATAACGAGGCACCGTCGTGGAGGGAAACCTTCTGTCGGAAGATCGGCCTTATTCGCAGTAGGCAAACTGCACCGAGTGTTGATGATAACCTCTTCAGAACCTCGTCGAGACTACGAAGCGAAATTGCTAGTTCGCTGCCCTCCTGGGTGTGCAGGAAAAGGTGCGGTCTTTCAAGGGGATCTCCTCGGCACTTTCTGATTATTCTCAGTCGTACCAGTGTCCCAGAGTTTGATGGTGGATGAACCCTCCTTGATTCCAAGGAGTTGCGTATACGAGACGCTTGATCGTGATGGTAGGACTATCATCAAACACATCGACATCGAAGCAGTAAGAAAAACGCCTTCCCTTTTTTCGTTGGTTAACTTACACATCTGTTTACGTCAGCCTGGTATTTCCTTCGATGATGTTGAGGTTTCCGTCATCAAACGAGAATGGCTGTCGTGCTTGGTGAGTAGGCTCTCCTTGTGGAGTGACAAACTTCACTTTTAGATGACGAAGCCAATACCTGAGGATGCCGAGAGTCGATTCAACTTCACTGAAAATACTATCGCCTATGGTTCTGTGCATCGGTGGTTCTGGCTTGGGAGCCCGACTAGCAAGGCACGCAACGGTGCAGCAGGTGATGATGCTGGCATCATGTACAGACCAGTGGTAAAGAATTATAAGGAATAGGGAATTGTAACTTCCTCTGTGTTGTCAGCCGCAACCAAATGGAATCTCACTCTTCAATGGCATATTATCGATACAGCTGTATCGCATCGATACGAGTCATGTGGTGAAAAGAAGAGCAAATCGCAGCGTTGCGGGCGGCAGTGCTGTGACGAGCACCACTGCTGGGCAGAGTAAGCATCCTGATGCAGCAAACTCAGCAACGAGGAGAGACCCCAACTCGATTGATGATGAGTGAGTTCCCGAGTGAAGTCGTGGTGAGGGTTGCTGTATTCAGGTCAGAGACGAAGCCTATTGACGATGATGGTCGTGTGCCAATTAGTTCTACGACGGGCTCAGGGAAGATTGGATTCTTCGGCTAGTAAACTACATAATGAAGACGACAAAGCAGCAGACTTGTCTAGTTATCTGCGTTGACATTAGCAATCGTTTTGTAGTTGTTCAATAAGCATGGGCCTGATTGAGTGCTAGTCATAGGAGCAGGATTCTGTATCCTCGACTGCTGACTCGCCATCCGCGAGAGTAATGGTCTGAACAATAACAACAACAACATGCCAAACACGAAGGTCTTTTTTTGTCATTTCATCAACCCTCATCGATGCGGCCTACGCTCGACAGAACAACTCCATGTAAGGAATATCGGCAAACTACGAGAGGTATCCGCAATACCGGCTCCCAAACCAGTTGTCAAAGATGTCACTCGGAAGGAACACAGTTGAGCCCAGAGATGGTATAGGACCATTAATGCCATCGTGTATGTATGCTATGATTTAGGTTAGACTCGAATTTCGCCCCCCCCCCCTCCCCGAACGAACAAAGGGTTCTGTAGTGAATGCAGTGCATTCTGACTGAACAATGAGGGGGAATACACTTGACTGAAAGATTTCATCTCTTGGAATACGTACAGACATCATTCCGATGGCTGTTACGGACCGTAACTCACGGCACTTAGTGTGAGACAGATATCACCC